ATAATACACTGCAATATTTATATTATTGCCATTATACAAGAGTTACCTCATTAAGTTTTAAATTATGAAGTAATAACAAAACGAAAATGAATAACTTTGAGACAAAACTATGAAATCAACAAATTTTATATAATTTTTTAATAATTTATACAGATTTTTTGTTATAAGTAAATTATAATTAATAAGTTTTGTTAAAACCAAAGTAAATATACATAAAAGTTTATATACATAAAACAAAGTCTATAATTTTCTTTATAATAACAAAAAAAAACAAAATTCTTTTTTTGTATAAATTTAATAATGATTGTAATTAGTATACTAAATGAGAATAAAATTAAAGTAATTGGTTTTCACGTAATGATAATAATAAAGATATTGGGAAATGTCTGGGATTCAGGCGAATCGAAATGAGACAGTTCTAATTTTACGTGAAATTAATAGTCGTAAAATCCAGCCATGACGATAATAAATCACACCTTTTGCCAAGTACCGCAAATTGATGGCTTCTTCCGAGTTTAGAATCGTAAAGTAGATTATACTCATTGAGATTTACATAAAATGAATATTCAAAAGAAATTTATTATGTGAAATTATTCATAAATATTTAATTGAAATTATTTATAAAATATTTCTGGTTTTGTTAGAAAATGTGTACATTTACTGACTATAATCTATTTTTATACAATTATGAGAAAATGTATTATCAAATAATGCAATTTTAAGTTTTTCTTTGAAATTTATAAATTTATCAATAAAAATCATTGTTTACAATCAAATTTTTATTTTTTTTCAAATTTGACAGTAAATAAAAGGAAATCAAATATTTAATTTTAATTTGTGTGCTAATTCATAATTGTTTATTTTATAGTTATTGAGAAAATTTATGAAGATTTGTGAAGACATGATTTTCCAAGGCTTCAAGAAACGTTTTTTCAACTTTGACTCTTTGAAAATCGGTAATAGCTACAAATGTGACAGATAGCATTTTGGAAATCCCAAACATTTAGCTTCAATTTGTATGGTAATTCATACTTGTCTCGTTTATATTTATTGAGAAAATTGATGATTTGTGAATGCACATGATTTTCCAATTCTTAGAAAAAAACGGTTTTTCAACTTTAACCCTTTGAAAATCGGCAATAGCTACAAATGTGACAGATAGCATTTTGGAAATGCCAAAAATTTAGTTTTAATTTGTGTGCTAATTCATAATTGTCTCGTTTATATTTATTGAGAAAATTGATGATTTGTGAAGACACATGATTTTCCAAGTCTTCAAAAAAAAAGGTTTTTTCAACTTTGAGCCTTTGAACATTGGCAATAGCTACAAATATGACAAATGTCAAGTTGGAAAGCCCAAACATTTAGCTTTAATTTGTGAACTAATTTATAATTGCCTTATTTATGGTTAATGAGAAAATAGACGATTTGTGAAGTCAATTAATTTTCCAAGGTTTCAAGAAACGGTTTTTTCAACTTTGACCCTTCGAAAATCTGCAATAGCTACATATATAATAAATGTCATGTTGGAAAGCCCAAAAATTTAGCTTTAATTTGTGTTCTAATTCATAATTGCCTTATTTATGGTTATTGAGAAAATAGACGATTTGTGAAGACACTCAATTTTCCAAGGCTTCAAGAAACGGTTTTTTAAACTTTGACCCTTTGAAAATCGGCAATAGCTACAAATATGACAAATGGCAAGAATGCCCAAAGATTTAGTTTTAATTTGTGTACTAATTCATAATTGTCTCGTTTATAGTTATTGAGAAAATTGATGATTTGTGAGGACAAATTTGAAAAAAACATGATTCCAACTTTGACCTTAAATTACAGAAATTCGGCAATGGTTGCAAATATAATATAGCAAGTTGAAAAGCACAAAAATTTAGCTTTAATTTGTGTACTTATTCTTAATTATCGCGTTTATAGTTATTAAGAAAATTGATCATTTGTGAAGACACATGATTTTCCAATTCTTAAAAAAAAGGTTTTTTCAACTTTGACTCTTTGAAAATTAACAATAGCTACAAATATGACAAATGTCAAGTTGGAAAGCCCCAACATTTAGCTATAATTTTTATGCTGATTCATAATTGTCTATAGTTAATGTTTGTAGTTATTTAGAAAATTGGTGATTTGTGAAGACAAATTCTAAAAATCGTGTTTTCAACTTTGACCTTAAATAACAGAAAATCTGCAATGGTTACAAATGTAATATATAGCAAGTTGGAAACCACAAACATTTAGCTTTAATTTGTGTTCTAATTCATAATTGCCTCAATTATAGTTATTGAGAAAATTAACGATTTTTTGAGGCTTAAAAAAAAAATTCGACTTTGACAGAAAATTGGAATGAGTTACAAATGTGACAAATGGCACATTGGAAAGTCAAAACATTTAGCTTTAATTTGCGTAAATATTGCGTAACGAGTCATAAAATTACAAAATTTTATTTGATTATTGTATGAAGATGTCTTATTGTTGTATATATTGCTATGATCTTACATTATGCTCATTAATTAACGTTCGTGCTTTGATGATCTTCGTGAGAAGATTTTTTTCTATGTGTATTTATAAACGTTGATCTTCGGTAGCGATGACAAATTTCGCTTTCGATTCGAGGAGAAATGCGGCTGCACACGTCGATCGGCGGAGGAAGGGAAAAAAAGAAGGAAAAAAAAGTAAACCACGCGAAGATCTAGAATGTTGACCCAGGAGCAATGACGACTCGTGCAACAATGTGGCAACGGTTTAAGCCAGGCAATAAAATCTGAATAGTAAATGTCTTGAGACGAATGAAGAATGAAGACAAGAAGAAAAAAGTGTAACAGAGCACTTACTGCATTCTAACAAAAAAAAATTGTACTTGGATTCTTCATTTGGTTGATGAAAAATTGATTTGTTTGTTATTATGTGCAAGAGTAGATTTTTTTTTTGGTAACAGTAACGGATTTGTTGAAGAAAAGTTCGGTAATGTTTTTTGGTGTGGTCTTGTATGGATGTGAAATGGATGAGAGGTCTGATGACCCAGAAGACATCAGGTGTGTTTGTGTGTCTCGAATTATGCAAATTTTGCGGTCTGGTATTCGGTGTGTCGCGGTGTGCCTTGCCCGAGGTCTAGGTCATGGTTACGACCACAGCCTCCTCTTCCTTCATCATCATCATCATCGCAGTTAAAAACCTTATATTTTTGCAATTTCTTCCATACTGAATCACACACACCTTCTATAATTATACACTTTTATTCTGTATAGAAATTAATACAAATTATGCTAAATCTAACAGTAATTATTTACATATATTTACAATGCATCCCACAGCGTGATTATCTAAAAAGAACTTTCTATATTAGCGTACATAATCTTAGTAATACTTGATGACAATCTTGTTTTTTTTTGTTTGTTAAATTAACAAGAACTACTTTCTTTATTCTGAATCATTTTTACATGATCTCCTAAAGATTACTCATATTTTCAGAACTTAACAAAAATATTGACAAATTTATTTTGAATTAATCTTTAGTTGATTCACCCAAATAAAAACTTTTATATCTTTATTAATATGGAAATAATCAAAGAATTCACGATGAAAACCATGGAAGCTTTATATTTTTTTAGTCAATAGATCAATTTCTACGAAAATTATTATTATTTAAGACGCAATATTTACAGTACTTTTAAGTAACTCTCTTATATAACTGTAACCTTTTTAGAGAGGCGCCGTCTGCAAATCGTTTCTAATTAATTTATAGTTTGCAAATTAGTTTTGATTGATTTTATTTACAATTTCTTTAAAATATTTCTGTATATTGGTACAAAATATCTTTTGTTAATGTATTGATTTATAAGAGATTTTCAAGTCTGTTTTTATAGAAATTTTCTTATTTTGATAATTTTTTTAACAAATTTTCATTCACTTTTAATACATATTTGGTCTGGTTAAGAAAAATTCAATATAATTTGTTAATTTTTGATGAATACAAAAATTGGTGTCAAATATTTTTTGTCCTCTATAAAATTTCAAAGAATTTTTTGAATTTGTAATTCGATTAAATTAAACATTTAGTCGAATTCAAAATTGTACTTCTTCAATTATAGAGTTTTTGTACTTCCATTAAAAAAAGAATCATCTTTCCTTCTTTATTGAACAAAATCATATTGGAAATGTTAAAATTGTATATATTTTTGTATATTTTGTTAAGATTTATAAATTTCTTCAGTTTTTAGTGGTTTTTATATAAAATGAAACGAGTATGTAGATTTTGAAGTAAATTTTCTTATTTTGATAAAATTTGTAACACATTTCATTCACTTTTAATAAATATTTGTTTATGAAATATTCAACATATTTCCTTTTTTAATTTATTAATTTTTGATGAATACATAAATTGGTGTCAAATAATTTTTGTCCTCTATAAAATTCCAAAGAATTTTTTGAATTTGTAATTTGATTAAATTAAATATTTAGTCCAATTCAACATTGTACTTCAGTTTTTGTACTTCCATTAAAAAAATTAATCAACTTTATTGGAGAAAATCATATTGGAAATATTAAAATTGCAAGTTTTTTTTCTGTAAATTTTGTTAAGATTTATAAATTTCTTCAGTTTTGAGTTGTTTTATATGAAATGAAACGAGTATATAGATTATCAAGTCTGTTTATTTCGAAATTAAAAATTTTCGTATTTTGATTAAAGTTAAACAAAATCACAAATTTTCATTTCAATATTTGGTATGTTTGACCAAAATCATCTCTCAAATGTTTATAACATTGTTATAATTTAATGTTTCTTGTATTTTGTGTTAATTTCTTAAGTTTTGGTTTGTTTTTGTATGAAATAAAACGAGTGTGTATATATTAAATTAAATATTTATTTACTCTTTTTCTTTACTAATAGTCTTATCATTTTACAATTTAATTTATAAATAATTTAATTTAAGGTAAGTAAAATAAATAGATTTCTCTTTCTCTCCTAAAGAAGAAAACAAACACTTCGGATGAGGTACTTGGAATGATATCGCTGAAGAACGAGAGTGGTGGTGTTTAACTGGAGACAGCCTTTGGTGCGTACGCGTTGTAAGCGATGTTCTGGGCTTCCTCCTTCTGGTAGGCGCGTCCCCATCCAGATCCGTGTCCGTGTCCACCGGAAACGACGACTTCATGTCCGGATTCGTGTCCGCCGCCACCGCCTCCCAAGAGCTTCTTAAGCCCAATGATACCGGCGAGAACCAAAGCGAGTTTCGAGACGATCAAAGCTTTACCAGCCAAAAGAGCGAGAGCGCCGAGAGCCAAAGGCACCAAAGTTCCTCCCAAGATCAAGGGGATGAGGAGGAGACCGCCCATCTTCTTCTTCTTGCCACGTTCCTCTCCGTTGAAAGCCCTGGCGATTTCGTTAGGCTTGACCTGAGAATTGTAAAATATAGAGATTAGCATTTTGATTGATGATTGTAAGGTGGTTTGTACTGTACCTGGAGGGTGTGGGTTTGGAGGAAGTTGCCGACTTTGTCGAAGATGATGTTGTTCAAGGCTCCGTCGCGTTCGGTGAGGGATCTGGGGAGTTGAGCTTCGATTTGGGCTTCGGTGATCGGGGATGATTCGGCGTTGACGTTGGTGTTGTCTTCCTTGACGAAGCTGACTCCTTCGAAGATGGGCACTTGGTTGAAGTTGCGGGCGGCGCGGTCCATGGCGGTGATCAGCTTCATCTTGAGGCACGAGGTGAGATCCGTGGCGGCGCACTCCTGATACACTTTGTACATGAATTTGAAGTCACCCAGGTATGAGGAGGTCGAGGTCTCGTCGGTCCTTGCAGTCTCTTCGGATGGGATGGCGTTGCCATTGGTAACAGCCGATCGGGCCCATACTGTGCCGGAGAAGGCGACGAGGGCGAGAAGCACACACTTCGAGGAGAACATGTTTGTTTGTTGCTCGTTGGTTGATGTCCTGTTGTTTTGGGATGTAACAGAGAACTGATATGGATTCACTTGCACTAGTATCCTTTTATATGCACGAGGGGGCCGCGTTTTTTGGTCCCACCAAAGGAATTTCTTTTCGGATCGCGCTCAGCTCGACTTCCCCACCCAAAAAAAGTAATAAAACCGGTAAGACGAAGACGCGGACAGGCGCGAACGTTCGGTGAAGAGAAGAACGGAAGATCCGTGCACGGTCAGAGAAATGAAGAGAAAAGAGACGAAAGCGGAATCGAAGAGAAGAAGAAAAAAACGGTCATCGGAGCGCGCGTGTATTGTCCACACGGCAGATGGGGTCCCCGAAACCGAGAAAAATATGTGTAAACTCCTTCTATCTTTTTCTTCTTCTTCGTTTTGAATGAGAGTTTTGAATAAGAAACAGAAAAACTGAGCTAGAGGAAAAAGAGAAAATGCGAGGAACGTGGTAAGAAAATGTGAGCCGTGCGTGCGTAAATCGCGATAAATTACCATGCGAGTATTGCAAGTAGACCAAAACCCCGATTTAATTAGCATTCATGTATAGAAACATCACTAAGTGGACCAAATCGGATGGACGGACGGTGGACGCCCTCAACCTCAACCAAGGCCGTCGCGTCTCTCAACGGCGTACGAGAAGAAGAGAAAACCTGAATTTCCGCCCTCCGACCTATATTTTTCCTTTTCACACCTTGCATCGGATCTCCGAAGACCTCTAAAAAGAAAAAGAAAACAGATTTCTGATTATGTTGGTTGATGGTGGAAGAACGCATCATGAAATATTTATTAATCCGCGCTGGAATTCAAACCTCACAACTCTGGGTCAAAGAAGAAGAAAAAAAAATAACAATACGCATTTGAAATCATCCAATAATGATTTACAACTCACAAAAATCAGCAGTTTACCTTTAAACATAATTATTTAAATTTTATAGTTTTTTTTCTTTTTTTCGAATTAATTTGTTAAATTTACAACAAAATCTTTCATCAAAATAATTTAAAAACATATATTTTATGCATTTAATGAGAAAATATGAAAAATTCTTTATAAACTTTGCAATTTATTGACAATGTTTACTTCATCAATATAATAAATTTTCTTGATTTAATTTAAAATTTTCAAAAAAATCTTTATCTTTATAAACTATTTAAATCTTTATTGCAATTCATTGAAAATTTGTACCTAAATAACTTTTCTGAAGTTTTTTAATTAAATTATATTTAAAAAAATCAATTTTTATGTATAAATTTCCAAATTTCATCAAAAAATTGATACATTTTTCTGTTTTTTTTTTCGATTTCTTTAGAAATTCATATATTTATTATAATTCATTCACAATTTTTACCTAAATAACTTTTCAGAAGTTTTATTTTTATATAATTAAAGTAAATTCAAAAATTAAATTTTTAAGTTTAAATTTGCACAAAAGAATGTTGATCTTTTATTAGTCCCATCGAATTTTACAATTATTATTATAAAACTTAGAAAATTTTAATAATTTAAACAAATTTGTAAATCATTTGCAAATTTTTGTTTAAAACAATTTTAATATTTTAATGCTTTCATTAAAATTCTATATTAAATACAAATATTATAATAAATTAGCAATTTATTTATTTAAATTAGTCAAAAAATTTCATATCCTACATTTCTTTTATATATTCTATTTATAAACTTTACTAACAACTATTCTATTTATAAACCATACTTAATTCCTTTTAGTATTCCAAAAAATAACTTTTTTTTTAATGAATTAATCTCTCTTTTTATGAATTATCTTAGATTCTATAGATTATTTTACTTAATTAAGATGTTTCCAAGTTCTTATATAATCTTAAAATCTTCACTTTTTGGAGCATAAATCTCATAATTGCATTATTCATGCACTTTCTTCCAAGTCCATAAAATGTAAATAAGACGAATCTATAACGTTCAATATTATAACTTTTTTTTATATACTTTCATTCAAGCAGTCGTAAATTTTGAGTGTTGAGTCAAGAATAATCAATAAAATTTATTTTTACATTTTATAAGTTTACAAAAAAAAAACTACTTTTTGCAACTTTTATTATAATAATGCACCAAAAATCTCAAATAACATTGAAGTTTATAATTAGTAAAATTATAGAGGGTGTCCCAAAATTAACGCAAGATTTGAATTTGGCCCGCAAAAAAAAATCAATTTGACACTTTACTGCACAAAGGGCGGCAAATACAAATCTTGCGTTAATTTTGGGACACCCTTTAGAAACTATCATGATTTTGGTTAAAGAATTATTTGAACTATATTTTTCTTAATTATCTTCAAAAAAGTTACTCAACATTGATTTAATTAAGAAGTTTTACAATTTAACTCGTTTAGTCCTGAATATGATAATAAAATAACCAAAATTGTTGAATTTTCATTGATCAAAAACATGTAATTGAAAAAACAATAAATTGTACAATTTTCTTATCATATTTCTAAACATATTTCTCTAAATATATAAGTTTGAACTATATAAGATTAAGAAACTTCATTTTGTTGTCCCATATATTATAACAAATCGAAATCTTTTGTATTTTTTCTTTATTTATGTTTTCTTCACGAATAAGTACTTCTTGCTTCCATTATTCATGCACTTTCTTCAAATACTCGAAAAAGTATGTGTGTATGTGTAAATGAAGAACGAACGAGGAGAAAGAACCAGAAGGTATAAAAAGCAGGATTTGTGAATGCGTGTCGCGTGTTTCTGTCCATTGTTCTGGGCGACAACAAAAAGCGAAGAACGAAAATCGACGAGTTTTAATTGTTCGCAATTTGCTGTCGAGATAAGAGAATAAAGAGAAACGTGAAGATTTTCCGTAATTTCGTATCCACACGAACGTTCCAAATACAATGAGTTCTTTTTTTTTCAATTTTCAAGTGATTTGTTGTTGATAAATTTGTATAAAATTTCTATACTTTAGACAAAAATTTCTTGTTTACTGAAATTTTTCCTTTGTAAATTTAAAAATAGTAAATTAGAAACATTTTTTTGATTTCCAAATGATTTGTTGATAGATTCGTATAGATTTCTATAATTTAGATAAAAAATTCTTGTTTATAGAAAATTTTTACTTTGCAAATTTTGAAATCGTAAATTACAAACATTTGTTTCGATTTTTTGATAGATTCGTATAAATTTCTATAGTTTAGACAGAAAATTCTTGTTTATTGAAATTTTTACTTTGTAAATTTAAAAATCGTCAATTTTTTTTTTTTCAATTGACTTGCTGAGAAATTCGTACTAATTTCTATAGTTTAGACAGAAATTTCTTATTTATTAAAATTTTTACTTTGTATAAAAATCGTGAATTACAAACATTTCTTTTGATTTTTTGATAGATTCATACAAATTTCTATAGTTTAGACAGAAAATTCTTGTTTATTGAAATTTTTACTTTGTAAATTTAAAAATTATCAATTACAAACAGTTTTTTGATTTCCAATTGACTTGCTGATAAATTCGTACTAATTTCTATAGTTTAGACAAAAAAAAAATATTTAGTGAAATTTTTACTTTGTAAATTGAAAAATAGTGAATTCCATATAGTTTTCTTGATTTCGAAATGATTTATTGAAAGATTAAGATAAATTACAAACAGTTTTTTTTTTAATTTCCAAATGATTTGTTGATAGATTCGTACAAACTTCTATAGTTTAGACAGAAAATTCTTGTTCATTGAAAATTTTCACTTTGTAAATTTAAAATTCGTCAATTACAACATTTTTTTGATTTCCAAATGATTTGTTGATAGATTCGTACAAATTTCTATAATTTAAACAGAAAATTCTTATTTATTGAAAATGTTTACTTTGTATAAACAGTTTTTTTATTTCCAACTGATTTGTTGACTGATTCGTACAAATTTCTATAGTTTAGACAGAAAATTCTTATTTATTGAAATTTTGATTTTACACATTTAAAAATCGTTAATTACAAACAGTTTTTTTGATTTCCAAATGTTTTCTTTATAGATTTTACCAAAATTTTATAGTTTAGACAGAAATTTTTACTTTATAAATTTAAAAATTAGTGAATGTAATGAACAAAATCAATTTAAATTATATAAATTTCATATTTTGTTTAATAATAATCTTAATCTTACCAAATTCATACTTGAAAATTGAATTAAGTACAAAAAATTATGCATTTTTTATTTGTTAAAAATATTTTGTATAAATTGAACCGTAATGAAATTACCTACATTTATTTATTATTTACACAAAACATCTTAGTTAATTGACAATTAATTAATTAATATACAAAACTTTCACTAATTTTTACTTTTCAAATTTAAAAATTGTAGAAATTAATTGAATACTAAAAATTGTGCATTTTTTTTTTAAATATTTTCTTAAAATTAAACCATAATAAAATTTAAAAAAATAATTACATAAATACTAAATTTATTTATTATATACACACAAAAATCTTTAAGTAATTAAATAAACCAATCAACTTTTTTTTGGTAATTATTTTGTTATTTCTTTGAAAGATTAATTAAGATATGCAAAATTAAATTGTGCGTAAAGCTTTAATAATAGGCCCGAATTTAATGGAGATTTTGGCTTCCTTTCTACCAAATAACACACAAAAAATAATAATTTCTAAACGAAATTTACGCTCTCAGTAATTAATTAAACTCTAATTAAGTCCAGATTTCATCAATTAGATTAGAAACACTAAAAAATCTCAAATATGTTAATTGACGTCATTTAAAGATAAAAATAGATGCAGATGGTTACCGAAAATTAATCATTTTTATTGATTTAGAGAAATTTTCAAGAAAATATGTTAAAAATTTAAGAATTTTCAAAATTTCTTACATTTTCAATACATTTTTGCACAAATAATGTTACAAATAAGAAAATAAAATCTTTCTCAAGTCGAAAAATTTGATATTTAATTTACAAAAAAAAATAATATTAAATCATGTGTATCTA